AATCAAAAACTAAGATAAACCAGTTTAAATCGGTTTTTATTTTAAAAAATCAAATTAAATCAAAATTAATCAGTTTAAATTAATTTTATTTAAAAAAAAAACTAATTTAATTATTATTTTTTTAATAAAAATTAAACTAAACAAAAAAATAATCTCTCCTCCCTCACCCCTATGTTATCCTTAACTTTGAAGGAATCAAATCTACCGTTACCATCCTCCTGTATTTCACATTTCACAATAATTAACTAATATAAAATAACTACATAATTCTACATTACTATACTTGCTACGTATGTTCATAATGCGTGGTATGGATATAATACTACAATAACACAAGACGATTTAATTTCAGTTTCTACAATCTCCATAAGTTGTTTGAATTTTATAATTACAAATTCAATATTTTACTCCACATTAAAATATAACAAGATACAAATATGAAAAAAAAAGTGAGTTTTTAAAAAATAATAATTAAAAAATATAAAAAAATAGCAAGGTCAAACTTCTTCCCTTCCTTTTTAATTTTTATTTTGAGTAGGTATGAAAATATAATAATAATTGTTTTTAAAAATATTTTAAAATAATATTTTTAAAATTTACTTTTCTATCAGCATTTTAAAATAATATATAAATATAATTTTTTTAATTAGATTTTTACAATTCTCAATTTAAGCCGTACAATTTAGGTTCATTTCCATTGGTCAGAACGTCAAATAATTTGTTGGGCTGATTCTGTGAACGTAAACGACGAGTCACTCTTGTTTTTTTTTTTTTTGGTTGGTTCAGGGACCCCGATAGCCACGGAACAGATTACAGAACTACGAACCTGTCAGACACTCAGACCCGACAGAAGACGCTTAAAACTAGTCTATCACTATCTTTGTGAAGCCGTCTTTTCCGAACATTTAAGATTAGATTGGAACTGGTTTTGCTCACTTTTGACTCTTCTTTCACTACTTTCCTCCCCCATTCTTCAAACCTTTCAACTTTCAATGGCTTCTTGTAAGTCCCTCGTTCTCAATCTCTCTCTCTCTCTCTCTTTCCACACACACACACATGCTCATTGAAAATAATAATAACAGTTATTATTTCATATATGGATATGTCTCAAGTTATTTTAATGGGTGTTCTGTTGAATTTTCTTTATGGGGCAGTTTAATGTTCTGGGGCTTGCTTCTTTGCTCCTTGTTTCTAATACAGTGAGTTTGAAGGAATTCAAAGATTGCTGTGTGTTTGGTATCTCTCTACACTTTGATATTCCCATTGGCTATACCATTTTTAGTGCGAAGTTTGGGGATCAATGCACGTTGGTGCTTTTCTCTTCTTTTCAAGTTCTTTCATGATACATAGGACCTCAAAAGGCTGGATGTTCATCTCCAGGGATACATAGGACCTCAAAAGGCTGGATGTCCATCTCCAGGCATTCAACTTCCAATATTAATTTAATGCTTACGGTTATTGATACTTTAGAATATTTGTGAAAATAGTTGATATTGCGTACAGTGAATTTAACTTATAGATAGAGTTATTTTTCCCTTGCAACTTAATTGCTCTCCTGCTCTTTCTAGTGCCAAATTTCAAGAACACCCCAAATAGGAGAAACACATGGTTGAACATATCTAAAGCCTAGGGCTTGGTATCCCAAGGGAAGGATAAATAACATGAAATATGCGTTGTATCTGATTCCATAAACATTTCTTTCTATAGCGACTATACAATTGGCCATATATGTTCGTGGCCACCGCCATGAAAATGCCATCTTGTCAAACAACGATGGGTAAGAATTAGATGATTATGGGCCTAGAATAGTACTCATATTTAAGATTATAAGATGTCTTTGTTCCTTTTACGTGATTCAGACGTGTGCTGGGAAAAAAAATTTGACCTGCTTCTGTACTTTGTGCTTTGGTTCTTACAGGTCGCTTAGGAGCTTTGAATGTTAAACTCTCGAAGTTGGATTTTGGTAGAGGAAAGTTTGGTAATCTGCAGCAACGAAGTGGCGTAAGGGTGTGGATGGGTAGGGGACAACTGCAATATGCTGGTATGGCTATATCACATGAATCAGGAAAAGCTTTCAGGTGTTGTGGCTCGGCTTCTGAAACCGAGTGTGAGTGTTTTTTGTTGCTATATCTACACTCTTGTTTAGGTTAACAGGCTGCCAAGTTTTAGTGAGTAGAAGTTCTGTTGAATATCCCCTTGCTCTTTTCATTTTAAACTTAAAATCAAATCTAAAAACTGGTTGATATCTAGTTGTTCTTTTCTTCTTCTTCTTCTTCTTCTTCTTTTGTTTTCCTTTTGAATTCAATCCCTGTTTTACTCAAAAGAACTTCACCAACTGGTAGGTGGAAGGCTTGTGGAATACTGTCTGACAGATCGTCCTTTTTCTATACCAGTATCATCCAGCTTTAGTTATGAAAAACCTTATACATGATGACCTGAAATGCTTCTTGTTTTTCTTCCGAGATCAAATAAAATTATCATTGGAGAAAAAACGAGCATGTGATAGCACTTTTTGTCTTAGAAGTATTTATCACTATTTTTCTTATAATAATGTTATCTTTTATCAATAAGATTATGTATTTCATTTTACATTAGTTCCATTAGGATCCATCTGGGAGTGTAGTAGCTTTCACATTTAGATACTTTTTAAAAGTGCTTTTGCTTTGAAAAAACATCAAATTGATACTTTTTTTAGTGTTTTTCAATGATTTTGATGTGTTGATATAAAAAAAAAAATATTAAGCTAAAACACTTTTAAAAAACACCTTGCATCACAATACCAAACACACATAATGTTTTTAGAAACTTTCAATAAGAAGGTTCTCCATTCCAAAAAGTGGGGACAAAGCCCATTTCACAAAGGGCAAAACCCATATCATCGATGAAAATCTTCTGGTTAGCACTCCACAAACCATATCATCCATAATCATCCACATTGTTTGCTTAATCTCTTAGAAATTTTCTATGCCAAAATCGACTTAAGCATGCACATGCACATTTTTATAGTGGATTGTAAAATGTCTTCTATGAAAAATTTCAAGTGACCTACTGACTGAGAGAGCTTAGAATCATGTGTTTTTTTTTTTTTTTTTTTTCATCCTGAATGAAATTAGTTGCCTTCATTCCTTGCGTTAGTTTAATCTAATTCAGAATGCTCTGATGCATCCTCAAGAGCCTGTTATTTCATTATCATTCAGGTTCTGTTTCCAATCTATAGAATCCTGAATTCTTGAGCAATTAAAAGTATAACAATTGACAATAGTTAGAAATCCCTTTTATTGATCTGATGATTGATTGAAACTGTTATATTTTTTAGCCAGTTGTTGTATTCCCTTTTTTTTTTCAGGGACTACAAAAGAGACCACATCATTGGGTTTGACAAGCCAACTTATTCCAAATTCATCTGAGGTGAGGACCTCATCTTGGTGTTTCATGAAATCTAGATACTGTATCTTTTTCTGTTGTTAAGTTGAATATTTGTTGTTTATAACATATATTCATTGGTTTGTAGGTGATACTCAACAACAATAGGTTGTTTGTATTTCTTTCAATGTGTTTGTTCTGAGCTTAGTGTGCTTGGTTTGTCATTTCTTTTCTTTTCGAACGGATGTGGTAACTCAATTTTGTGCCTCAAATGAAAAAAGAAAGAAAGGCTATGCAGAAAGCAATTGTACAATATCTTACTGATACAAATAGCATTTGATGTAATGATGTCATATCACTCCTGTATGGAAAGTGATAGCACCACAGATCAATTATCAGTTTATTAGCTTGTTTTATACAATTATCGCTTTTATGTAGATTTTCCCAATAATTTTTCTTTTCTTTTCCTTTCTATCAAGTATTATAAATTGGACACATGGTCTCACCAGGTAGATGGTTAATTATTATTAAGAGCAGGCTGGTCACTTCAGATTCAATTTGAGTGGTGAAGACATTCCTTTGTCAGGATCAACGACTTTTTTTTTTTTTTTATACTGATTCTATTTTATCAGTTGTCAGCTATATGTAGCATTAACCTCTTGTCAGCTTTCTTCATGCCTGTTTGAATTTTAAATGCACATATCCAGTTGGACATGAGCTTTTGTTTCAAAGAAGGTTGCTTGACTTTCTGGTTCTGAAGGTGTCTTTCAAGATGAGTCCTTGTCTTCATTTTTATTTACTTGGTGGAAAATGTTCTTCATAGGATATCATAGAGGGGTGGAGAGAGTTTTGGTAAAAGGTTTGCTAATGGCATGGAAGGGTGTTGAGGTGTCTGACCTGCAATTTGCAGATGACACTTCCATTTTCTGTCTAATGATAGACTGGATGTAGGCAATGTGTTTTATTTTCTCAAGAGTGTTTGAGTCACAGGTGTCTTGAACACAGATTAATATGTCCTAGGCATCTGAGCCGAGGATAAATATGCCTTAGAGAGTAAGGGTTTGTCATTTGGTTGTGTGAGAAGATGCTGAATTTTGTTTCCTTTCCTTTCCTGTGTTTGGAAGTTTCTGTTTTATTGAAACACATATTGGTTAAATTTCATCTGCAGATTGAATCTTTGGTCACTGAAATATGCAATACAACTTCAATAGCCGAGTTTGAATTGAAAGTAAGCAGGTTATGAACTACTCTATATCCATTTTTCACCACTTGAAAGTAATTTGGATTTCTTTTGCCCTATTCTGTAGCTAAAGAGGATAAAAACTTCGTATCTATTTTAAAATCTGATGGCGTTTCCTTCTACCTCTTCTTCCCCTTTCTCACTGATTGTTAGCTTGGTGGGTTTCGGCTTTATGTGATGAGGTATTTAACTGAGAAAAATGAACCTACACCTCAACCCCTGTCCCCTCCTCCTCTTGTTGTCACTGTGAAAACTACCACTGATGCATCTGATCTCAATGGGTCAGCTTCTACATCTTTAGCCATCTCCAAACAAGAGCCTTCTTTTGGGGGGATTGTATCATTTCTTGATAGAGCTGCTGATGAAGGCTTAATGATACTGCAGTCTCCAAGGGTGAGGACCTAAATTGAAATGCTTCAAAACTTCTTTAAGCAAATGTACTTAAGTCATAAATGGTGCAGGTGGGGTTTTTCCGGAGATCTCGAACTATAAAGGGAAAACGTGCTCCCCCATCATGTAAAGAGGTACCAGTTCATGAGGTTTTGTTGTAAATATCCTATTATGTACAGTCAAGGATAGAGAATAGTAAAATGGCTGATAGCATTTATATATGTGAACATGGTTGGATTGGAATCATGAAGATGATCCCTTTTCTTGCTTCTGTTTTTTCATAGCATTTAGAATAAGCATATTATTTGTTTATAATATAATTATCCTTGGTATAAAACAAACAACAAATGATTCAATTTCTTTAACACTTATTGAATAAATTGCTAATTATTTATTGTTTGTAGCACTGTAGTAAATTGATCTTAAAAATGATTGGTAATCCTCAGTAAATGTCCTGTTTCCTTGGAGTTAATTAGCAGAGGATTGAAAGGTGAGCAGAATTAAACCAGCTTCATTTCAAATTTGTTTTTCCTTGTATCAATCTATAATATACAGGTTCTAGAATTGTAGTGGTCATTAGCTCTTCTATTGCACCTTGCAAATTTTCAGGGGAAAAAAAAAAGAAAAGGAAGAAGGAAAACAGCTAATGGCTTAAAGTGTTATTTGTGCTTATCAAAATCCCTACATTACCCTTTCTTTTAGCTCTTAAATATCAACTTTTCTCTCTGTTTCTCTTCGCATGTCGTAATTTCTTATTGGCAACTGAATATTAGAGAGAGAGAGAGAGAGAGATTCTGTTTTGTTTTATTTATTTTTTCCATAGCAAGAGTAACTAGTGCAACAGCAACTTTCTGGAAAACATAAAACACAAGGAATATATTAATGGGGCAATTTCTGGTTAGATTCTATGAGCATGGGGTTTTAGGGTTTAAAATCCTTTGCTTTGGTTATGGGTCAGTACCTGTCTGTTGGTTGCTTTCAAAGTAAACCTACGTTTGATCTTTCTTTTGCCATAACATTTCTGCCATGCAGTGTCAAAATGAATGCTAACAATTTTCATCTGCTCAAACAGAAGCAAATAATAAAGGAGGGTCAAGTGCTATGCTACATTGAACAACTTGGTGGTGAACTCCCAATTGAGGTTTGGTCTTGACTCCTACCATGATAGAAAAAAAAGAAGAAAAAAAAAAAACTCTATCAGTTCTTTAAACCGTCTGTTGTTTTCCTTGCTGTGCTATTTTTTATATCACTTGCAACAGTATCAATTCTTTCTATTTGATTTTAATTTGAAAATACTAAATATCATGATCGTAAAAAAGAACAAAATATGAAAGTTACTGTCCTTCTTGATGCTGAGTTTTTCTTTATTCTTTTTTCCTTCTTAACGTTGGCTAAAATAGACAATGCAAGTCCTTTATTTGTTCGCATGATTTCTTTTCCAGTCTGATATATCTGGTGAGGTCATCAAAATACTACTAGAGGATGGTGGTAAGTTCTCTGTTCTTCAAGTATTTTTCCGAGGCTTGAGTTTTTGTCAAGTTTCTTCATTTGTATTTTATACTCAAAAAGAACATAAAAAGCTATACTCATTCGATCTGTTTAACTTGACAGAACCTGTAGGATATGGAGATGCACTGATTGCAATTCTCCCCTCATTTCCTGGGATAAAGAAGCTTCAGTAGATGAGTTGGTTCATCTTTCCTTGCAGTTTTGGTGGTAATGGCATGTAAACGAGTCATTTTGTGCTAGCTCATCCTTAGTGGCGGATATGTGCATTCAAACTTAGGATCGTGGTTCAATGCACATTGTCCAAATGTTGACATTGCTCAGGAGAAGTAATTGAACAGGAATAAAATGGAGTTTTCTCTTTGACTAGGGTAGTATAAAATCTTGCTTCGATGTCAAAATACTGTGAACAAGAACCATGGGTTTATAGATATCTCTGAAGTTATGGCCTCATTTGACGTTCTCATCTTTAGTTGTTTTGACTAGATGAGAAATAGGACCGTGGAGTCCTCTTTGTAACTGTTTGCTGCATCCTAAGCTTAGATTTAGCTTCATTGCAAGCCCAAGTATTATTGCAATTACATTACAATTAGATGTTTTGTATTTATTTTTTTTGGTGTTTTGGTCTTCTTCTTTTTTGGTTATTGATTTTTTCTCATTTTAGTCCTTAGATTACGTGTTTATTAAGATTCAAAGTTAATAATTTATTTTACTTTGTATTTTATATGGTTATTGTTATATCAAAAAAAAAAATCATCATTGGATTAGTATTTGATTGTACAAGATGAATTCTTCATTTTCCTAAAGTTTGAGAGTAAAGGGACTATAATTGAATAATAGGAAAGCATTGAGGCATGGAGGGGAAAATTTAATAATCCAGTCGTGTGAAACAAGGCCAGGAAAGATAGATAGGAAAGAAGAATGGATTCTGAAGGTCACCATAGACCTCATGTAAGAACCGGTGTGTAGATTTTGAGTTTTAATCGAGTTACTGGATTAATTTTATGTAAGAACCGGTGTGTAGGTTTTGAGTTTTAATCGAGTTACTGGATTAATTTTTTAAAAAAATTAAAATAATATTATTTTAATTTTAAAAAAAATTAACAAGTTACAACTAGGTTTTGTTGAGTCAACTAAATTATCGGATCACATCAAGTTTTTTTTTTTTCTTCAACTCGGCTAGTTCCAGTTCCAATTCCAGATTAGCTAGATCTCAGGTCAATTTATCAGGTCGGGCAACTAGGTTTTGTTGAGTCAACTAAATTGTCGGATCACACCAAGTTTTTTTTTTTCTTCAACTCGGCCAGTTCCAGTTCCAGATTAGCTAGATCTCAAGTCAATTTATCAGGTCGAGCTGAATTTTAAAACTATGCATATAACACATGTTGCCTTGTAGGAAAGAGGACGACGCCACTAATTTGATGGCATCAAAGGCTTCACCAAAAAACAACAGGTTTTCCTTAAGCCAAGGCACAAGTGAAACAAGAGTTAGACATTTTTTTTTCTTTTAATTTAGCCCCTAGTTTTTTTAACATATCTTTGATTTAGCCTTATTTTTTTTTTTTAGAATAGGAAGTTTTTCCTCCTTTCAATTTAGTCCTTTGATTTGTAAAATCTCTTTAATTTCATTCTAATTTTTTAATTGATTTTTTTAAGATTTGTTTTTTCAGTTTTATCCTTCAATATTAGATTAGTTGAGAATTGAACTTCATAATTTATTTATTTTGATTTTGCCTTTCTATAGGGTTATTATGATATGTAACAAATGTTCTAACATAAGGTTGATGATCAATTTTTTGATTGCTTATTTTATTAACATTTAGTTAATAAAAAATGGTTTTGGAAAATAGTTATTAAACTTTATTGAGTCCATAACCCGGTTTATGAGTTTAGCGGAGTAACCATGGTTGCCTTGGTTCATGTGTTTGGTAAGGTATCTTTTTTTCTTTTTAATTGAACTCAATTTTTCAACATATAGTTTTAAAAAAATTAGTTTCAGAAAAAAATCATATTATAAAATTTATAAAGTCTGTAAACCTATTTATGAGTTTGGAGTATAGTTTTTAAACTCGACCTGGTTGACGACCCAGGATAATGACCAGGTTACGGGTCAGCTAGGTTGATCTATCTAAAAGAAAAGCTTTTGGCCTTGGTTTTCTAATAATGAAAACCAATCACTTACCCCTAACACATAGTATAGTATAATAGCATGCCACCAGCGGCCTTGGTTTTCTAATAATGAAAACCAACCAAGTACCCCTAACACAGAGTATAATAGCATGCCACCAACAACTCAAAACAAAAGTATATATATAAAAAAAAGATCATACCACCAGCTACTTAAAAAGCACATGACTCACATGTAATCTCTTTGTTTGTTATCTTACCTTCTTTTTATATCAGATGCAACTTATTGACATTAAATTAGCTTTTGACTTTAGTTCTACAATTACCTTAATAAAATAAGATTTTCTAAACCAAGCCAGAGTACCATTCTATTGTTTTCCACACTACTTTGACATGTTTTCTATAATCACATGAACAATTTTTATGCACAAAAAATGCCACGTCTTCTCCTTCTCTCTCTAGCCACAACCCTTATGAGTGTGTTTTTAACATATTGACCTAGATTACTCGATTTACAGGTTTGACATGTTTACTAACTAAACCCAATGTCTTTTTTTTTCCTTTTATTTTTTATTTCATCCTTTAATATTTAATTGGTTGGAAAATAAACTTCATGATTTATTTTTATCTACTTTTTATAAGGTTATCACAATCTCAAAGAAACATGTATTTTAGGGTTGATGCTTGATATTGTAAGCATCTATTTTTTTATCATATAATTAAATAAATATAGTTTAAAAAACCAAAGTTATTAAACCTAGTAGAGACCATAACTCAAGTCGCAAGATAACTACGGTCGATCCAATATGTTGTCGTCTCATTAATTTTTTTTTTTAAATTATCATCTTGAAGTTGTTTTGAAAGGTAAGCCACGTTTTAATGGGTCATATGGTTTATCTTTAGACCCATGAAATTGATCGATTCACATTAGATGAGCTTTACTCACCTGAAAAACAAGTCATTTTCAAGAGTGATCATTTTCAGTTCGGTTAAGTTTTTATCAAAAAACATAACCAAATCGGTTTTTTTAAAAAAAACCAAAACCGATTTAAATCGATCGGTTTTGATTCGATTCAGTTTTTCAGTTTAAAGCTTATAAAACTGAACTGAACCAAATCAAACCGGTTAATTTTTTAAAAATTCTAATCGGTTTAATCGGTTTTTTTTCACGGTTTGGTTTTTCCTGTTAATGTTTTTTGTGTTTTCTTGGTTTAATCAGCTTTTTAGTTTTTTTTGCTCACTCCTAGTCCTTTTAACAAGATAGGAGACCCTCTAATATTTCAGTCATCAAATATATAAGGAGTGGAATGTATGTATGTGTAGAGAAAGAGTTTGTGAAGTAAGGAGAGTAATATATAAGGTAACTTGACTGAGCCTTGTCTCATTTTATGTTTTTTACTTAGTGACTTGTGATATTTATAGATACCATATGTTACATAAGTTTACCTAGTACGAGAAAAAATGATAAGGAGTATCTTCTTTCTTAGAAAGTTAAGTCATTGGTTGAAGTGCCACATTTTTTATTGGTAAGTTAGATCGTACTTAAGACTATTTCATTAGTAGGAATGATGGTTAAGCTATGAAAGTTAGCTTAGAATCAAGCTTAAGAACAACTACTGGGGGGAAAGGTGGTCAAGGCAAGAGAGTTTATGTAAAGTCAAACTTAGTGATGGCTATTAGTGGAGAGATTCTTGAAATAGTTTAAGAAAGGTTGTTTACTTATAAGAGAAGGTGGCAAGTATAATTAAGTTAGAATCATTTCTCTTTTTCTTTCCTACCTTTCATTGCGTTTAAATTAGCAGTCGATTTGTACATAAAAAACCTTGGGCAAACAAAGCATAAAAAGCATAAATCTTGTATGTGTAGTAAATTTTGTAACCTTTTAGTATTTTTTTGGATAATAAACCTTTTATTTTGTTGGAACCCAAAAAACTTTACTCATTAAAACATTATTTTTTGAAAATGTATTTCTCTGAATGCACATCCCTAATTAATTGCTAATTAATGCTAACTTGAGAAGTTTACATTTTTCACCAAGAAAATGTTGGTTTCCAGGAACAACATCATATCATTAAAGCATAAGTGAGCATGTAATCCATGAAATGGAAAGGTGACTTATATGTGTGTGTATATGTGTGTGTGTGTGTGTGTTAAGAATAAGTTGTTTAAGATGGTTTGGCATAAATCTAGCATGAATTTGTGAATGACCAAAAAGATATGGACCATAATGTAAAGTGATAATGAACAACTTAACATGAAAATAATTAATAAAGACTCTCAAATATGTGGTATATTTATTATAGTTCAAAAGTATATGTATTTTGGACTTGCACAATTGAACTTTGCCTCTTTTTTTTCCCTGAGGAATTGTTTGTCTTGGCTAGGATGTGGCTCAGGGTTAAGGACGCTAGTCTTTTTAACTAGAGATGCATTTCTCTATTCTTAACTTCATTTGGTTCTTCGTGCTGCCTTTGGAGTTGGTGCATCTTACTTTGCCTTGTGCTTTGGTCTTTCTACCTTTGAGGAGTTGTTTAGGCATGTTTTAGTGTGTTTTTGTTTGAAGTTTGGGAGATATGGCTACACTTGGGCTTTAATCTATACCTTTTATATAGCAACATTGGTAAAATTTTCAATGGCTTAATGTCCAAGCTATGCTTTTGTTGTGGTTGCACTATGTTTTAGACCTTATTTTTATGTATTCTTATGTTAGGGCATCAGAGTCAGCCGAATCATTTGCATGTAGACTCCAAGATTTACATGTTGAGATCACTAAGCAAATTCAAGTAAGTAATGCACAAAATAAACTTCAAGTTGATTTATGTGGACAACATTATGAATTTAAGGTTGGAGACTATGTTATGATATAGATTAGACCTAAAAAGTATCCTTCGAGAACTAATTAAAAATTACAGGCATATAGTGTTGGGTCATTCAAAGTGCTATAACAAGTTGATCCAGATGCTTATGTTATTAATTTACCACTTGATTTTGAAATTAGCTTAATATTTAACATTAAGAATCTAATTACATACAAGAGACCATATCTTATTCCAAATGATCACTTTGAGATGCCACCTAATCTCACTCATGATAATCCTATTAAAACATCTACCCCTTTTACTATGACATTATCATAAAAGGATAATATTAATACTATTATGGATTAACAAGTTATTTTTACCATGGATGGTGAAATTCAATGATTTTTAGTTTGTTGGGTGAGCCGATTTAATTTAGATTGCACTTGGATTACTAGAGATACATTGCAATAGATTGATCCAGATCTTTAAGAGTACTATCAAAATTATTCAGAGCTATATTTGATGGGGTTGAGTTTCTTCAACCCCAAGATAGTTAGTGAAAACAATAGATCCATATCGTAGATTACACAAGTATATGAACAAAGATGATAAAAAATAACCCGACCTATCTAT